CAGAGGCATGAACTAGCAAGCTCACATTTGTAATCACTATTCTACACTGGTCTCTTAGTCTTTTCTTTTTTTTAAGGGGACATGGGTGGTCTCTTAGTCTTTTTCCCTGCCCCACTGACTTCTACCCCAGACTGTGAGGGTCAAAGTATCTCAGCCCTTATCACAATGCCTGGCATAAAATAGTGCCCATATGGATGGTGAATGAATGAAAACATTCAAGATGGGGTGGCAACTGTGGCTCAGTGAGTAGGGCACCAGCCCCATATACCGGGGGTGGTGGGTTCAAACCTGGCCCCGGCCAAACTGCAACAAAAAATAGCTGGGCGTTATGGTAGGCGCCTGTAGTCCCAGCTGCTCAGGAGGCTGAGGCAAGAGAATCACCTAAAGCCAAAGAGCTGGAGGTTGCTGTGAGCTGTGATGCCACAGCACTCTACTGAGGGCAACAAAGTGAGACTCTGTCTCTAAAAAAAATAAAAGCCGGGCGTGGATCAGGCCTGTAATACCAGCACTGTGGAAGGTTGAGGAGGGAGAGTCACTTGAGCTCAGGAGTTTGAGACTCGCCTCAGTGAAAGTAAGACACCGACTCATGAAAAAAATGGAAAAACCCATCCAGGCACTGCGGTGAGCGCCTGTAATCCCAGCAGCTTCTGGGGGCTAAGGCAGCGGGATGCCCACAAGCCAGAGTCTGAGGTTGCAGTGAGCTACTAAGCCACCACACTCCGCTCAGGGACATAGGGTGGGACTCTGTCTCAAAAAAAAACAAAAAAAACAAAAAAACAAAAAAAAAACCCAAACCATTCAAAATAATACTGTGTGATTTTTTTTGGGGGGGGGGGCAGAGTCTCACTCTGTCACCCTGGATAGAATGCTATGACATATAGCTCACAGCAACTTCAAGAGATCCTCTCACCTCAGTCTCCCAAGGGACTACAGGTACCCACCCCAATGCCTGGCTATTTTTAGAGATGGGGTCTTGCTTTTGCTCAAGCTGGTCTCAAACTCCTGAGCTCAGGCATTCCACCTGCCTCAGCCTCCCAGAATGCTAGGATTACAGGCATGAGCCACCAAGCCCAGCCCATATGATTTCTTTCTATATTTCTTTGATCCACCTTCTCTTCCTCCCAAGCCCCTAGCACAGTACCCAGCCCCAGAAGGTTCTCAACATATCCATACAAACTTGAAGCTGGAAAGAGCTTTTGTGACCACTCATCTCTATACCCTCAGTTGACCAAAGGGGGACAACCTCTGTGGGTTCTTTCTCCTACTCCTAAGAAACAATTGAGCAAGATGAACAATGGAGGATGCGTGGGCTTCAAAGGTCCTAAAAGGCTGAGTTCTAGCAGAAGAGAGAGATCCGCAGTGGATGCCCCACTGGAGTGGAACCCAGGGAGGA